CCCCCTGTTTTCCGGAGTCGACTCTAATACTGTAATATTCGATGTAAACTCGCCCCCATTCCTTCTCGCAATTTCATCCAATCTTTCTTCATGTCCCGAAGAAATTATGTTTGAGGATTTTTCATGCCATAGAGGGAATACCAGTGATGGTTAATGAAAATGGATCATGTTTATGCTGCTTTCTACTCTCATTCAGGTTTTTTTTCGCTGGTTCAAAGGTTCACATGACTGGGGAGGGCGATGCGATGTGAGGGAAGATTTTTATTCTCAGACATGTTGAGGTTTGGTGGATTTCCATTGTCAACTTTTAATGAAATTTTAGATATTTTGGATATTCGGAAGGTTCAATGTTGATTTTTTTTCATTACTCAATTTTTATTGAATTCTGCATTTTGATAAAGGTCAAAAGCCAGAGAAATGTTTTATTTGAATTAATAAATTTAGTTGGATGGGTTCATTTTCGTTGCGCTTGTTAATTATTATTTCTGCTGTAATCCTGAGACGATGGAAGTAGTATTGATGGCGAAAATAAAAAGATCTACATCGGTAGATTGACGGAAATTAAATTTGATCTTAAATTGTCGAAAATAATTGGCACAATTTCGTAATACGGGAAGTAAAAAATAAATAGAATGATATTGTACATTAATAGAATTACAGTTAACTTTATATTTACATTCCCAAAATCGTTGTGACATCTGCTGACTATTATTTTACGTAATGAGAGGGCTCAACAGCCACGAGACATTGTAAAATTCCATTTCTCTATTCAACAAATTCTCAGAAGCAGAATTCTCAGAAACAGAAGCTCAAAAGGTATGAGACAACATTGATGGGATATTGGCATAACATTGAATCCCCATTTATTAATCAGCAACTATTTCATCATAACCAAAATAATTCAACTTTTTCGTGCTGTGCACAGGATATACCAATGATTGTCTACAAAATTCCACAGTAAATAAATTCGTTCATTACATTTTCTAAAATACCTTCGATATTAAGATCAATGAAATTTCACAAAAAATATAGCGCAACATCTCTAATTAACGAGCATTCCCTACATAATTTTCATCATCATCATCGTATTAATTCCAGCCAATAAAACGCCCATAATCTTCTAATTACCTCGTTATTATGCCCAACACAGTCGATACTTTGCTGGAAATTCCAAAACCACTTGCTCTATATTCATATTTTACCCCTCATATAATCCGTCTGAGATCAGACCATCGCGGAATCGGTTTACCCAGCGATATTTCAGCTGCGACAACCATTCGGTGAACCGTCAATACTCAATGCTCGAATAAAAAAGATACAGTGGCCGAGGGGAGGGGGATGAAGTCAGTGTCGGAACGGGAAATCGCTCCGTCCATTTCACGAATCTCTTCTGGGAAATCTTTCCGTAGGGTGATCCGTGGTTTAGTCGCTCGGTTTTCTGGGCTTGCCGCAAGCCGACCACTGGACATTCCATCTCTGTACGGTTTTCCACGGAACACGTAAACCACGTACAATGTGAGAAGATACACAGAGCAATGGAGTATTGCATTGGGCTTGTTTGTTTCCACTTCTACTATTGTTTTCCCTCGACAAAAAAAAATCTCAGCTTTTTTGGGGAAATGTTATGCCAAGGGTTATTACATACAATTGTGTGAATACTTTTAATCAAAGTCATTGTCATTCAGGAAAAACAAAATCCCGGACATTTCGACAGTTTGATTAAATTGAAATCAAGTGGATGAAGGCTTTGTGGGTGAAAGCCAAAAACTCGTCAAAAGGTTACGCTGGCAGTTCGATAAAATCCCAGGAATTTCATTTGTTTCACGAACACTGAGTGGGGGGGGGGGGGATAAAAAACAGCAATATTGAGAGTGGTGAGTAGTGGTGTGAAAATAAAAATCCACAATAGGGGACGGAAAAAGGCCGAGTGTCAGTTATGTGGAGTCAAGTGAGTGTCACCAGTTTTTCACGTGAATGGAAGGTGTTTCGACGCTATTCCCAATTGGAGGAATTAGATTGATGGGGTCATTGTGATGATCATTGCGAGGAAGACTAGTCGACAGGGCTGAATTGATACTGACGACTCTAATTTTTTTTTGTTTTTTTTTTCAGCTGCTCTTGAATGCAATGTTATTTATTCAGAGATGAATTCGTGAATTTTTAAAAATTCATTTTATGAAATCTATGAATCTATTTATTTATTTATTTATTTATTTCGTTTGTGAATCTATTTAGAAACAAATTTGTGAATTTTTTAAAATGCATTTTATAGAATTCACCCAAATGCATCAGAAAAGAATGAAAAAAAAATGAATAGGATTAATTCTTAAAAAAGAATAAAAAAGTCTTTGACCCGCTGATTTTATTCAGAAACCTGGATCATGACTTGTGTCAAGTGGATGAGACTTGGTCGATTAATATAATTGAACTACAGTTCACATGACATATAATACATAATAAAAATACAGAATAGGAGACGGAAAAAGGTTGAGTGTCAGTTATGTGGAGTCGAGTGAGTGTCACCAGTTTTTCACGTGAACGGAAGGTGTTTCGACGCTATTCCCAATTAGAAGAATTAGATTGATGGGGTCATTGTGACAATGATTGCGAGGAAGACTAGTTAACAGGGCTGAATTGATACTGACGACTTTAATTGTTTTTTATTTTTTGTTTCAACTGCTCTTGAATCTAATTTTATTTATGTAGAAGTGACTTCGTGAATTTTTAAAAATTTATTTCATGACATCTATAGAAACAGAAAAAGAAGAAAAATTAGATCTGATTAATTGTTGAAAAAGGAATAAAGCTCCTGATTGCAATTTTATTCATCTCAAAACTAATTTGTGAATTTTTCAAGATACATTTTATAGAATTTACCCAAATGCATCAGAAAAGAATGAAAAAAAAAGGAATAGGATTAATTCTTAAAAGAGGAATAAAAACGTCATTGACCTCTTGATTTTCTCTAGAAGCCTGGATCATGACTTGTGTCAAGTGGATGAAATGTGGTCGAGTAATACAAGTGAACTGTAATACTGTGTGTGGGGGGATGAGCTCCAAACAAACATGTACAAGCGAATGTTGAGACAGAGCTGACCCCGGGGTTGCAACCGAGGTCCAGCGCGTTTCACCGTCACTCGGCAGTGAAGAATGGCTCCACAGAAATGGAGTAGGAACAAAGGAGGGGTGGGAGTTGGGCCTTCATTCAAAGTGTCAAGGGTGGAATTACCTGACTATCCCGAGGATCGCAGTACGACTTTTGTAATTGTTTGATACTTCGTCTTTCGGGGGATTAAACGGTGATAGATGTCTTCGTGAAATATGAAATTGTCTTGGCATTTTGGATTAAAAGGGTGGGGGAGGATTTCATGTGTAATGAAATGTGTATTTATCCGAATATAATATCTCATAAAATTTCGTAAAAAAATTAGTGAATTCAAAAGAAAATTCTATTGGATTTCAGTTGAATTTTATTTTAAATAGAAATGTTTAAAGGAAAATATTCGGCTCAAATTTTCCAATTTCTTTGTTTGATTTTTTACATAAATAAATAAATAAAGAAAAGAAAGAAAAATGAAGTGAAAAGAAGTCTATATATATTCGATGAAAGTTTCTATTTAAAAAAATGGTAAACCTGAGGAATTTTCGAATAAAATCAGCCAAAACCTGATAAAATTTCAAACAGAAGTTGAATAGACATCCAGTAGAATTTCCCACCGCCTTCACTTCGTTTCTCAATGAAATTTTTCCATGCGTGTATTCCGGTATGGTCTAGCGGCTAGGATATCCGCCTCCCCCGTGACTTCATATTTTAATAAAATATTTTTCTCTCACCTCTCGTTGTTCTCGTGATCATGTGATACTTTCTGCGAGGGGCTGCATATTCTCTTGAGGGATTTTCCGCTCCCCTGACTCATACCAGGCTCCACCACCCCATCCCAAACTTCAATCGTCGACTTGCAGGCTGATGTACTGCCGCATGAAACAAAAAAAACCCCGTATTTACACATATACCCTGAAATTTCATCATTTGAAAACTCCGCGCGAGCTCGATATGCCGAACGATTGGGGAAATTCAGGAGAGAGGAGACGCGAGTGAAAAAAAATTATATGCAGAGTACTAGGCGCATGGGAAATTTCCAGTGAAATGTCCTAAGCCGGGTAATATCACCTCGCTCTGCATATCTCCAGAGATTCGAGAAAAAAAGAGTACAGAAAAAAAGTTCATATCTCCCGGGACGTAAGGTGGTCCTGTGCTGGGGGCCCTCGAGAGAGACAAGGAGGAATAAAGGAGAAGAGAGTACACAATCCACAGTCTACAGGGTATTCTCTCTGCTTCGAACTACTTTCCCGGTTCACCGAAGCTCGGATTTACAATATTCCATTCAGAATTTATGCTGGCCACGATAAAGTTCATTTTTCTATCCCCTTCATGCCAATACACTTTTTCATTGTCGTCAATTTTTATGTTTTTCTCTTTGTAAATGTAAACACGGGGGGAGTTCTTTTATTCGTTGCTTTGGTGGGGTCCTCTTTGAGAATGGATTCGTACGGGGAGAAATTTATCTGGACAAAGAAAAATTGTACGCAAAGAATATTTATTCGCAATTCTATGCACGAACGGAGTATTTGTTGTATTTATTATTCATTATTATTCATTCGTTAGTGCAATTTTTCCGACGGAACAGTTGTTAACGCAGAAACGAACTGCAGAATTATTTATTTATATAATTATTGTCTTGTTCATTTACATTTCAATTGAATTTAAGATGTTTATTATTATTTGTAATTAAGAATTTATTTTTCGCGTTTTCCTTTGATTTTCGAAAACATTATGAATACGGAGATCAACAATAGAATTGTTCATTTATATAAATTTTTTGATTATTAACATTTAAATTGAATCATTCACTTCATTTTTCGCCAGACATTTTCTCCACTCATTTTTATTCTCATAAAACTTTGAATAAAATGTATTTTCCGTACATAAAAAATGAACAAAGCTTCAACTTTTGTCCATGATTTTGTGAAGATGCACTTTGAAGACACGTCCTCCCAAGAATTCTCACCATTCTTCAAATATATCTGGACCAAGAAAAATTGTACGTAAAGAAATCCATGTTTTTCCGCAATTCCGTGCACGAGACAGAGTCACTCTTCTACGTGACTGTTGTGCGTGGCCTATATAACCATTTGGGCGCTAGGTTACACTATTCCGATTTGCATTTGTGTACAGCCCAAGAGAATAGGGCCAACGGGTTGGGGAGTTGTAACGAAAACGTGTCACGTATAAGTCGAGATAAGAGGGGCAAGTGTAGTTACTCGAGGGCAACTGTGGATACCTCTTCATAGGTACGTGATCGGTTGGAATGACTTGCGAGAATTTTTTCACCTCAATTTTTATATCCGAGGGACGAGGAAGGGATTTATACAGGGGGAGAACGTACAATGGCAATGAGAGAAAAATGAGCAAGTTTGCAAAAAAGTCCTGCTTAGAGCAAAAAATCTTGCGATATTCCGTTGGAAATTTTTGAAAAAAAAAATTGTTTGGTTTGAATTTCGAAGTCTTAAATCATCATCCAATTTGACAGTTTCCATAATTTTTTTCATCAAAATGTGAATTTCCAGTGAAAAAATTGCTTAAAATTATTATTTTATTATTATTACATTATTATTTCATTCAAAAATTAATTTCCCATCTGTAATTATTGAATAGCCGAAGCGAAGCACTATTGTTCCTTATTTCGCGTAACAAAATATTTTTGACGCAACTGAATCTATTTTTTCGACAGAAAAATGTTCACCCCAGGAAAGTATCCAAATGGTCAGATATTAAAATAGTTTTTCTTCTTTTGGAAAATTCTTAAATTATGATTTGCTAGCGAAGCGGTAAACCAGTTTCAGTTTTCTAGAAATAGCTCCGAATCTAAAGGAGATAACGAAATTTTTATAATGACCTTTTTTATAGCCCCCAATTCGCTGTACAAGAAAGGTCATGACAAAAATTTTTCTATCTTCCCTAGATTTCGAGATATTCATTGACAACTGGGCAATAGTCAGAGGCGATTTGAACAGTTTTATCGCTTCGCTTCTGGATTTTTCGGTTCAAACAAGACTTGCTTGAGAAGATATTACTTTTGATACAAACCTCAGATTGTAGCTCGACAGAAGCACGTGAATCGTGTCGGAGAGTCTGCCACGTAGGATCAAGTGACAGTCGGTTGTTTTAATTTTTTTGCGTGTATCGTAGTGTCCTGTTCTGTACTTGTCACCGTCTATGTCAACGTCGCAGGTCAATGTACCCTGGTCCTTTCGTAAATCATTGGAATCACGGTCGGACGAGCGGATGCTATTGCTCATCGGGTTGCTGGCTCTGATAACATCGACTGCGGGACAAACAACATTTACATTTAAATTTGGAATAATAAAATCCGATTGATCGACGATGCATTGTTTTTGCTTTATTGCTCACCCAAATTTTCGGTTGTGGCGGTTGTTGTTGTTGTTGTTGTTGTGGGGGCGGCTGTTGTCAATTCTGTGACACTCACTCGCGCTAGAAACCCGTTGTAATTGAATGGCGGAACTTCCGGTCCAGATCTGAAAATTATGGGTTTGAGCATTGGAAAAATATGCGGCGGACTGGTGAGGAATAATTGATATTTTTATTTTTATGGAGAGTTGAGTAGTAATTTTTAGGAGAATGATATTGAATTCAATTTGAGGATGGGAGGGGGAGGGAATCGTGAAAATATATTTTTTTCTTTTTAAATTATAATAATTCACTTACATAATCATAAAATTTTAGGTTTCAGTAAAAATTCTGCGGAATTGCCCAACTCACTTGAATTTTTCAGAAAACTACGAATATTCAGTACCAAATTACGTGAAATTAGCAATTAATTAGACATTAAAGACTACATGAATGAATTTTTCTTATTTATTTAAATTTTCGTGGAATAATTCAACTGAATTTGACAGTTTCCATCAATTTATTTATCGAAGCGTGAATTCCCTCTGACGAGATTGCATAAAATTGTAGTGAAACAATAAAAAAACTTGCAACATCGCGCAAAAAAAATCTTTTTTTCGTTTTAAATTATAATAATTCACTTACATAATCATGAAATTTTAGGTTTCAGTAAAAATTCTGCGGGATTCCCCAACTCACTTGAATATTTCAGAAAACTACGAATATTCAGTACCAAATTACGTGAAATTTGCAATTAATTAGACATTAAAGACTACATGAATGAATTTTTCTGATTTATTTAAATTTTCGTGGAATAATTCAACTGAATTTGACAATTTCCATTAATTTATTTATCGAACCGTGAATTCCCTTTGACGAGATTGCATAAAATTGCAGTGAAACAATCAAAAAACTTGCAACAACGCGCAAAAAAAATCTTTTTTTCTTTTTAAATTATAATAATTCACTAACTTGAATTCCACCAGTAGTTCCGGTCCGGTATGCATCACAGTAGTTTTCTCATTGCTGCACAGCATCTTCAGCATGGTACTCGAAATGGTGGGTCCGGCGTAAACAGCGATGTAATCTCTGGTGCAGTGGCTGAAATGCCAAAAAAAACCAAATAAATCATTCTATCGTAAATTAATTAAATCGTTAATATTCCATTTTCCCATTAATGGTCAATCCCATTAGCGGTGTTCATTCGGTCGAAGAAAATAAAAAGAAAGGCGAGAGGGCGAGCGAAAATTACGAATTGATGATGTGAAACAGACTGATAAAATACGGGATAATTAGCTGGAACGCGCCGTGTGGAATGGGGCCAAGTTGAAATTTTTGTTGGCACTGCAAATTGGCTTATGTACACTCACACATTCGTATTATTAAATACATTTGGTCCTTCCATTTCGCAGCGGCAATGCAGTGCCATCTCTCCTCCACGTTTATTTCTCTCTTTTATATGAAATTTCGTTGATTCAGTACCAAAAAAATTGGAGAACTGCACTAGATACACTAGTGTTGAAATTAAGACATTTTTGTCTTCCTGTTTAAGACGTTTGTGTTTTTAGATTTAGGCAATTTTTAGTGTGTACTATACTTGCATTCATTTGACATCTCCCACCTTCATCGTCCATTTCACTCTAAGTTTCTGGACATTTTACAATGATTTTATTATGTAAACTTTGCAGGGCTGAATTTTAATTTCGATATTGAATCGTTAGAAAACATTTTAAGAATAAAAAAACATATTGGAAAGTTTATTTTTGCAAGTAGATCGATGAAATAATCTGAAAAGTGCAATTTTTGAAATTACGAGTATTTTCGATAAATAAATTATAAACAATCAATTTCCCACGACAAAAATCTTCTGTTCGAAATCGTAATAAATTTTTTCATATTCAGAACTTCCCCAAAAGTCGATCGTTTCAACAATTTCAATTATTTATTAATAAACAACGAATTTTTATTATCATTATTTGTTATTATTATTTATTAATGAATCAGGATACAATGCCCCATTGCATGGGGAGAGTAATTACAGTAAAAACTTTAATTTGTCATAATTTGTACCTTGAAGGAATGTTTAAAGAAATAATAATTCTGTCCAAAATGTAATTTGAAATAGGCAGGACATTCATGATTTTTTTACATTTTTCCCCACGCAATTTACTTGACAAATTTGATGGTTAAAAATGGTTGAATCTATAGTGTCCGCACCAAACTGTAAAAGATACTTGGATATCCTTAATGTTTCCACTTAAAACGTCTTGAAGATATGAGTTTTCACAACGATAGTCGTGTTTCATAAAAATAAAAAAAAACTCCAAGTGCCCTTCCTCCAATTAAAATGATAATAACGACGATAATTCTTGAAAAGTCTTTGAAAAATTGTTGGCGAAGAATTCAACTGCCCATACCGTTATTTTCCGTTGAAAATAAGTAGAATAAAACACGTGGAAAGTTGCTTTCATCGCAAAATAGTCAAAAAATATTATAGTAAATGTTATAGTACATTTTTTAAATATTATAGTAAATATTATAGTATACTAGAACAGGGCGCGTATTGTTTTCCATGGGTGCCAGAATAGCAAAACCTTACCGCTTCGCTAATTTTCATCTCAATAATAATGCAGGAAAAATGAATGGTTTTAACGAAGTTTTTCACAAGGAGAATTTAATTGTTGAATAATTTATGTGGAATCGTCATAATTCTCTTCATCTTCTTCTTCATTTTTCTTTTGCTTTTTGCGGTTCTTTTTATTTTTAGGGATGTATTATATTCTATATACATATATACCATTTTATATCTGCATTTTTTTACAGCACAGAACTATATTAGATTTTTTTATTGTTAAAAAAATAACAGTATAAAACATATATGTATAGTATACATAGTACGTATTGTATACTATTTATAGTATGTATATTACATATATGTTGCATATATTACATGATAGTATATATCATATTATATTATATAATATATGTATTTTTTTTATTATAGTAGGAAATGAATTTTCTCGTTTTTTTACAATTACTGTAAATAAAAGATTACCGGACACAAAAAAATGTATATGTAGACATCATATTACATTACTTGATAAGCGGAATATTCAAAAATCGTTACACTGCACGGAGAGAAATGTTCAGTAAAAATTTCGGAACGCCGTGGAAAAATTCTGTGATTTTAGATAAAAATTACGTGACAGTTCCGTAAAATTTCCTACAACCACATTTCGCTGAGGAATTACGGAAAAGATACGCAATTTTTATTGAATATTTCTCTCCGTGTGGATTTCTTAAAAGTGGATTTTTGCTAATAAATTTGCAGTTCTCTTCCGAATGGAATTCCTAAATTAGCGAATTCGAACTCCTGAGGGCAAAGTTATTCATTCGGACACAAAAAATAGGAAATTTCGGATTTGACGAATACAGAGCTTCCATTCGGAGGCAAAAATAGAAAAACTAAAGGACATGTATATGACGACCATTAGATCCATTTCTCCTCCAGTCTCGGATCCATCCGAAGGACCCTGTACAATGCATACTTTCCGCAAACATCTCAGCAGTTCTAAGAAATCTCAAGTGGACGGTGGAGAAAAACCCCGTAGATTGACCGTGGAAACAGTTTCTCCCCCATTTCACGCCCGACTGCTTGAAAATACCGGAATGGTAAATCGGATTCCCCCAACCTTTGTGGTTCTCCGCTTGAAAATCGCAGTATAAAGGAAAAGGAAAATCCATTTGCATCTGAAATTGACAAGTACAATGCGCACGGTCAATCGTGACAGAAGTAGTCGGCTGAGGGCATTAACTGCTTCATCTGTCACATTACGTCATCGTCTCGCGATTTGAATGATACATGAAGGTCATATCCTAATTAACTACACCGGGAATATCGTATTCTATAATAAAACAACACTGAAACATCTCGCGAGTCATAGATTCATTTTTGAAGTTGAAATGGTCAAAATGATTAAAATGTGTTCGATTTTATTGACCAGTTTTCAATGAATATCTCTAAATCTAAGGGAGACAGCAAAATTTTCATCATTATCTTTTTTGTAGCTCCAAAGTTGCTCTACAAAAAAGGTTATTACGAAAAATTCGTTATCTCGCTTAGATTCGGAGATATTCCTCGAAAACTCAGTTACGGGCTCAATCGACTTGAACCATTTTACCGCTCCGCCCCGGAATTGAAGTATCCACTTTAAAAAAAATCCGGTGTAACGATTTTTGAAGTCTCTATTCCACTTATCAAGTAATGTAATCTTTTGTTTACAGTAATAATTGTAAACAAAGAGAAATTCATTTTTTACTGTAATAAAAAATATATAGTTTTGTAAAAAAATTTATATACAATAGTATATATGTATATATTATATAATATATAGTGTATATACTATACATATGTTTTATAGTGTAATTTTAATCGCTAAAAGGAAAAGAGAAACGAAGAAGTTGAAGAGCGTCCTGACGATTCCGAATAAATTATTCAACAATTAAATTCTCATTGCGAAAAACTTTGTTAAAACCATTCATTTTTCTTGCACTAAATTAGTCCGCGCGCTCCGCGCGGTTATGCCCTACGCCATGGGGCTTAATGTATTTCAATTGTAGTGAATAATCTTATATTAAATTTCTGAAGTTAATATCAAAGTTTCCGAAGAAAAAGTTTCAGGAACGTATTTTATTTTTTTTATATATAATACATCCAGTGTGACTTTTTTTGTAGCCGATCTATTCGGCGTATTGTGTCATTAGATTTTTTATAAGTGATAATAACATACATTTAAGAGATTATGATAATACTATACTATATTATATATACTATGTACAATATATAATATGTATGATGGATTACAATATAGTAAGGTACACACAGAAAAACCTAAGCGTAAATTACGTTTTCATAAACGTAAATTACGTTTTCATAAATGTAATTTACGTTTATAATTGTCATAAATTACGATTTATAATGTGCGTAATTTACGATTTCGCAATCGAAAATTACGCTTATAATCGTCGCGAATTACGTTTATGTAATCGTAATTTACGCTTCAACTTCAAGCGTAAAAGACGACTTCTTAAACATAATTTACGTTAAGGTTTTTTGTGTGTATAGAATATAATATAATGAAGTATTGTTGTAATATCTTCAATGTATACTATCATCATTTACGAAAAATCTAATGATACAATACGCCGAATCGATTGGCTTCAAAAAACGTTACACTGGCTTTTTTTATTAAAGGATTATTATTGATATAAAAATTCACGAAAGAAAGAATCGGTAAGGTTTCACTCTTCTGGCACCCCTGGAAAACAATACGCGCGGGAAGCTCGCGCCCTGATCCAGTAAAGAAAAAGAAACATCCATTTGCATCTGAAATTGACACGCAAAATGCGCATGGTCAATCGTGAGAGAAGCAATCGGTTCAGGGCATTAATTGCATCATCCGTATCCCCCGTATCGTAGATAATGTGGGCTCATTTATCTCTAGTTTCAGCAATGATTAACCACTCTGTCAACCCTTATCCCCGAGGCTGGGATAGTTCGATCCATCAGGATCAGCCGAGAAGTTGCTTGTTTCTTCCAGTTTTCGAGTTGAATTTATTTATTTTCTCTCGTTCCCCGACGTTTGCTGATGATTCAGTAGATATTGTCGGGCGTGTCCTCATTAACCATCGGGCTTTTGGCAACCCTCCAATATCGACAAGGATCGCTGTGTACAGATGGACAGGGCGTGTGTTCACAACGAGACGCAAAATCGGTTAAATAATTGACGTCCTCACGCTCTTATGGTGGATGTAGCCATCGTTGTGCGTAATTTTACACGATTCGGGGGCATATGGCATTATGAAAGTATCATTGGGGTGATATAATTATATCATCGATTATTTGCCGATCGGTTTCGGCGTTTACGTTATTTCCAGCGCGATGGGCTTCACGTTGTTCGTTTACACATGAGTGGAAAAATAGATTGTTGATTTTTCGGGGGGGAGAGAGTTGAGGGGGGAGAATATATGTTTTTCATGGATTTTGTTATTATTTGAAGTTATTTTTATGCGTAGAATAAATCAATTGGGTCAAATACACG